CTTAACCGCATCTAACAAAATATGGCAGGGGGTTGAACTGGATGGCACATGAGGTCTCTTCCAACTCTGATTCTATGATTCTATGTCCTCTTTACGAATTTTCTAGATCATCTAGGTCACTACTTCTTAAATTGTGGGTCTCAACCCCAAATGGGATCCTATTATGAATGTTGGGATCCTGAAAAAATTGACAACAATAAAGGTTTTCTGAATGTTGCTTGTTTTAGACATTCACATGAATCTCTTGTGCAATGTTTACAGTGGACTCTGCAGACCATACTTCAGCTGTACTTCATAAAAAGAAAAATCAGCCTGTTTAGGAAGCCTTGCAAATGCTAGTTTGTTATCAGTATTTATTTATTTATTCATTTATTTATTTATTGTGTCAGAAGCAATTTGAGAATGCAGTTATAATGTATCTAAAAACACAAAGTTAAAAACTTGGCATTATTCTAAATTTTCTTTGACCAGAAGCTGGCCAGTTGGAGTGCCTCTGGTGTTTCTGTGAGAAGGTCCTCTGTGGCACATGTGGCAGGGCTCAAACTACATTGTAGTAGGTGGTCTGTGGTTTACTCTTCTCCACACTCGCATGTGGTGGACTCCGCTTTATGGCCCCATTTCTTACGTTTGGCTCTGCATTCCGTGTTGCCAGAGCAGTCTGTTCAGCGCCTTCCACATTGCCCAGTCTTCTGTGTGCCTAGAAGGGAGTTTCTCATCCATTATCAGCATCTGATTGAGGTTCCGAGTTTTAGCCTGGCACTGTTGCACTCTCACTTGCTAAGGTGTTCCTACGAGTATCTCTGTAGATCTTAGAAACACATTTCTTGATTTAAGACACTGGCATCCTGGCTGATATCTGAACAGAGGATGGGCCGGAGATGTCAATGCCTTGGCCCTTTCATTACTTGTCATCATCAGTAATTGATTGATTGATTATTATACCTATTTTATATTCCTATATATCTAGGGTCGCAAAAATAAATTTCAGGCCAAATAGGGTTGTGAGTGGGAAACCCTGTTCTAGGTTATTCTGTGGTATGCTTCTCCTAGAAATTTCCATCAACCTAGGACATTCCTAGCAAGGATAATCTATAATCACAGAGAAGGTATGCTATTATATTAAGTTTGCTGTTGTTAAGGTATATTCAGGAATGTATTCCCACTAATATGGGGATTGTACTATACAGTGCATTGAGCTCCTTGGTGGAAGGGCAAGATATAGATGAAATAAACAATCAATAAACAACACAGTGATTTCAGTTAAAATGCATTTCCCCTGTTTGTGTGTCATTTATTTAGGGCTTAAGAATGGCAAGATTATTCTATATTTTTATAGTGATTACTTGTCTCTTTGGGTGCACATGCTGTTCTTTCTCTTTGAAGTTGATTCATACCATATGATGGCAATAGGTTTGCTATGTTTACAGCATAAATCTTTCTCGGGAATACACACAAGCACGAAATGGGAATGTACATCTCCAAATGCTTATACTTTGGTCTGAGAGCTGAGATTGCCATGGCTCCCTGATGGGTTCTTTCTGCCTATTTCAAGATGCACATTTCCCCTTTGAACTTCTGTCTTTCCCAATAGAGAAAATAGTGATGTAAACACAGCAAATGTTATTATTAACAGGCTTTAGGTTGACTTTGACTTATGGTGATCCTATGAACGTGAAACCTCCAAACCCTGTCCCCAATAGTCCTACTCAGGTCCTGCAGACTCAAAGCCATTGCTTTCTTTACTGAGTCTTTCCTTACTGGAATCAAGTTTTCCTCTTTTCCTAGTACCTTCCACACTCCCAAAACATTATAGTCTTTTCTGGAAAGCAGGGCTATTTCTTCTCATGATATGTCCAAAATATCACAGTCAGTTTAGTTGTTCAGGCTTTATTTGCTCCAGGATCTATTTGTTTGTAGTTGGAATAGTATATAGCATCCGTAGAACTCTTCTCCAGTACTACACTTCAAATGAGTTGGTTTTCTTCCTATCCATTTTCTTCACTGTCCAACTTTCACAACCATATAGAGAAATCACGAACCATCCTAATTTTAATATCCAGTTATTTTATTTATTTATTTATTTATTTACTGCATTTGTTGACCGCCGTTCTCAGCCCTAGGGCGACTCACGGCAGTGTACAACATATAAAAACAGTTTACAATAAGGCAATAACACAACAAAATATCAACATAACTATCAATAATATAACAATAATACAATTACACTAAATCATCCGTGCCGTCTCATCGTAGAATCATGAACCAATCTCGTAATCCATATTCCGTTCCAGTCGTCATTGCCAATTGTTGTAGCACTTAGTTAAACGCCTTCTCGAATAACCATGTCTTTAGGCTCCTGCGGAATGACATAAGGGAGGGCGCCTGTCTGATGTCTACAGGGAGGGTGTTATGTATCTTTACACTTGAGAATCTTGTTTACGTGCCCTTCTCAGTCCCTGTTGTTGTTGTTGTTGTTGATGATGATGATGATCCATTCAGTCACTTCTGACTCTTTGTGACCTCATGAACCAGCCCACGCCAGAGCTCCTTGTTGGCCGTCATCACCTTCAAGGTCAAGCCAGTCACTTCAAGGATACCATCCATCCATCTTGCCCTTGGTCGGCCCCTCTTCCTTTTTCCTTCCATTTTCCCCAGCATCATTGTCTTCTCTAAGCTTTCCTATCTTCTCATTATGTGGCCAAAGTACTTCAACTTTGTCTCTAATATCCTTCCCTCCAATGAGCAGTCGGGCTTTATTTCCTAAAGTATGGACTGGTTGGATCTTCTAGTTGTCCAAAGCACTCTCAGAACTTTCCTCCAACACCACAGTTCAAAAGCATCTTCACTCAACCTTCCCTATGGTCCAGCTCTCACATCCATAGTGACTATGGGGAATACCATTGCTTTAACTATTGCCAGTCATAGAATCATAGAATCATAGAGTTGGAAGAGACATCGTGGGTCATCCAGTCCAACCCCCTTCCAAAAAACAGGAAAATCACATTTAGAGCACCCCCGACAGATGGCTATTCAGCCTTTGTTAAAAGCCACCAAGGAAGGAGCCTCCACCACACTCCGGGATATAGAGTTCTACTTCTGAACAGCTCTCACAGTTAGTAAGTTCTTCCTCATGTTCAGGTGGACTCTCCTTTCCTATAGTTTGAAGCCACTGTTCCACGTCCTAGTCTCCAGGGCAGCAGAAAACAAGCCTGCTTTCTCCTCACTATGACTTCCCCTCACATATTTATACATGGCCATCATGCCTCCTCTCAGCCTTCTCTTCCGAAGGCTAAACATGCCCATCTCTTTAATCCGCTCCTCATAGGGCTTGTTCTCATCTTTTTATTTCTTGACTGTAGACTCCACTGGTTAATGATTGAACCAAGGTAAGGCAAACCTTGAACTAATTCATTGTCTTGAAATACAGCAAAACTGCCAAAATAAAATGCGAAGTGATTTTAATCTGGGACTTGCAGAACTGCATTTCTATAGCAATTCTGATAGGAAACAACAGGTAATAAAAGGAGTTTGGTCTTAAATATATTTTTATTGTTGTTCTAGAACATCTTGTTCATATTGGGATAGGTGATGTTATGAGCAGTAGCAGTGTGTTCACCTCTAGTAAGTGGTTCCCTAGAGAAAGGCAGTGACCTATGAATGGGCCCGTGTTACACAACAAAGGTATGAGGTTGCAGAGTCCTTACCTGTGTAGTCATGGGGGATAGCTGCAAGGAGATAGCTGTGAAATAGCATCTGGATCTCAACTGGCTGAACAATGGTTCTTTGAGTGCTTCTGGGGAAAGGTGAAGGGGAATTGTTGAAGGCTTTCATGGCTGGAATCACTGGGTTGTTGTAGGTTTTTTCGGGCTATATGGCCATGTTCTAGAGGCATTTTCTCCTGACGTTTCGCCTGCATCTGTGGCAAGCATCCTCAGAGGTTGTGAGGTCTGTTAGAACTAGGCCATCCAATACTAATCAAAGTGGCCAGTTGAACCATTCACACCTAGCTCCAACAGACAAGAGTTCTTTGTCCCACCCTGGATATTCCACAGATATATAAGCCCAATTTTCCTAGTTCCAACAGACCTCACAACCTCTGAGGATGCTTGTCATAGATGCAGCCGAAACATCAGAAGAGAATGCCTCTAGAACATGGCCATATAGCCCGAAAAAACTACAACAACCCAGTGAAGGGGAATGTTTAAGAGTCTCCAACTCCAGTAGTTTACAGCTCTACCAATTCCTTCTCATCTCTGATACAAAGTCAGCTCATTCTTACAATAGCAGTTGTGCTCAGGCTGCTATCTCAAAAGATCATCATAATTTGCAATTATTTTCTGAACAGGCCAAATGCACAGCAGGGTTTCCGTGTACTGATGAATCTTTAGTTGCAATACTTAATTTTCCCTAGTTGGGAGCAGACAGTGTCCCAGTCCCTCTGCCCTTCCTTCCTTTTGCTTGAAAATTGTAACCTTAGCCAACACACTTCCTGCTACAGGAAAAAAATGACAGTGAGTGCTGAATTGGGTAGAATTGATGAATTACTGCAGTGACAAGAGGATGGGGTGGGTAAAATGTGTGTGTATGTTTAAAGATTTCCTCCCACGCAGTCTCTGGCTGATGCTCAAGGCTGGGAATTATGTTCCAGCTGAGTGCGAGATGTATAAAAGGCATAACCTGGAGAAATGTGCTAGTGTTTTCTGGCAGGGGGAAGTGGGGGGCGCACAGTGAGAATGCCGATCATGCATTCACCAGGGGGTTCTTCTCTGGGATTTTGGCTTCCTTGGGAGCAAGTTGCACATTGCAGTTAGAGATGGAAGAAGAGCTTTCCAGATTGCCAGCCTATCTTATTCCCTTCTTCCAGACAACGCAGGAGTTGCTCGCTGCGTCCAAAAAGCCACGGAGGAGGGAAAGAGGCCAATTCTTCATGCATCATCAGCTGCGTATGCACCATAGCGGCCTCAGATGTACTGACAGCATTTTCCCTCTTGTGTCTCCAGAGGCCTCAGGGCACAGCTGCTGCTGTTGCTACTGCTATACAGTGAGAAGAGGCTCCAAGGCTGATTCTGGGAACTTTGTCAGGACCTGCCAGAGACATAGAGAGAATTGCAAAGCCTTTGGCTAACCAGGATCTCAGAATTTTTCTGCTCTCTTCACTCCGCCCCATTACTTCCAGTAGCTTCACTGTCTGTGTTTCGGCTGTTCTTACCAGGTACGTGGCAATTAATGTGTTTCAAGTTGGGAAGGGGCAAACTTGCACAGGTAAGAACATTATTTTAGAACACCTCATCCTTCAACAACTTCCAGCATCTCTAGAGAATTCATTCCAGCTTCTGCTGTTTTATATTTACTCACAAGAAAGAGTCTAGAATGGAAGCACTGCCCAGAGAAGTTCGTTATCTTCTATTTTGAGTGCACAGTAGTGTTTAGATTTCAATTGGATTCTATCTTCTACAGCAGTGGTTCTCAACCTGTGAGTCCCCAGATGTTTTGGCCTTCAACTCCCAAAATTCCTAACAGCTGGTAAACTGACTGGGATTTCTGGGAGTTGTAGGCCAAAAACACCTGGGGACCCACAGGTTGAGAACCACTGTTCTACAGTGTGATGCTTAGAGCTTTTGCTTCTTCAACAATGGGGAAGCCTTGATGCTAAGAATAAGTTTTTAGTCTGTTTTGGAGGCCATCTATTTTTTTCATCATTGACTAGGGCAGCATATCTCAACCTGTGGTTCGGGACCCCTGGAGGGGTCGCAAGGGGATGACAGAGGGTCGCCAAAGACTATCCGAAAACACAGTATTTTCTGTTGGTCATGGGGGTTTTGTGTGGGAAGTTTGGCCCAATTCTATTGTTGATGGGTTTCAGAATGCTCTTTGATTGTAGGTGAACTATAAATCCCAGCAACTACAACTCCCAGATGTCAAGGTCTATTTTCTCCCAAACTCCACCAGTGTTCACATTTGGGCATATTCAGTATTCGCGCCACGTTTGGTCCTGATCCAGTTCTGGGCACCACAATTGAAGGGAGATGTTGACAAGCTGGAATGTTTCCAGAGGAGAGCGACTAAAATGATCCAGGGTCTGGAGAACATTTATTTATTTATTTATTTATTTATTTATTTACAACATTTATATGCCGCCCTTCTCACCCTGAAGGGGACTCAGAGTGGCTTACAAGGTATATAATAATAATAATAATAATAATAACAACAACAACAACAACAACAACAACAACACTTTATTTATACCCCGCTACCATCTCCCCAGGGGACTTGGTGTGGCTTACATGAGGCCGAGCCCAAAGTACAACAATACAAGCAGTAACAACAACAATACAAGCAATTTAAAAACAACAAAACAATAACATAAACATTATCAATAGGACAACACACTTTAAAATCTATGGGTAGGCCAAATGTAATTAAAATTAAAAATAATGCTGGACACGGGCTAAAAAGTGATGGGGTGGTTTGTGGAAACATATTACATACAATATTATTAGCATAGTACAATATCAGCATTAAACATTGCTATATTGCACCATACCACTATATCGTTATATTATTAGTAATAATAAATAATAATAAAAATAATTAAAAAAAACATGCCCTTTGAGGAGTGGCTTAAAGAGCTGGGCATGCTTAGCCTGCAGAAGAGAAGGCTAAGAGGAGACATGATGGCCATGTATGTGAGGGGAAGTCAGAGGGAGGATGGAGCAAGCTTGTTTTTCTGCTGCCCTGGAGACTAGGATGCAGAACAATATTTCAAACTATAGGAAAGGAGATTCCACCTGAACATGATGAAGAACGTCCTGACTGTGAGAGCTGTTCATCAGTGGAACTCTCTTCCCTGGAGTGTGGTGGAGGCTCCTTTTTGAGTTTTTTAAACAGAGGCTGGATGGCCATCTGTCGGGGGTGCTTTGAATGCGATTTTCCTGGTTCTTGGCTTGGGGTTGGACTGGATGGCTCACAAGGTCTCTTCCAACTCTGTGATTCTATGAAGTTCAGCTAAATTGATTTCCAGCAAGGATGAGCTGGATGCCTCTGAAAACCTGGGAAACAGACTGTTCAAGGTGATGGGGTTTATCGGGTTTTTTTACCTCCCAATCCTCCTCAAGCCATTTATTGGTCAAGGAAAGGAGGAAAGGTTCTTTCCGAGGAAGAATTGCTAATGGATGCTTAGGGCTTCTTTATTATTGCAGCATTGTAGAGAAGCTGTATATGTGTGTGTGTGGGTGTGGGTGTGTATGTATATATATCAGTAGCCCAGGGAATGTTACAGTTGTCTATCCAGCCCTGCATTTGTATGACAACAATCAGACTGTCATACAGATGCAGGCTGTATGAACCCTCATCAACATGGCTGTGATGAAATGAATGTGGGCCATTGCAGTTAGATGTGGGAATTTTTGTTTCTGTTCATTACTATTTTATGGAGGCTAAGTAGAACTGCTCAGCTCCTTTGCATCCCACATAAACAATTAGGGCTAATTGACTCCTAATTATTCTAAGAGAAATGTATAGCCTGCTGAATGCCACTTAGCTCCAAGATGAATGCATTTATACTTTTCAGAACATAAATGGAAATGGAGAAGCAAAAGCAAGAGCTGCAGGCAGGGGGCTGCTTTAGAAACATGTCTGCCAATCTGTATCCTTACAAGCGTCCACAAAGGCACATGGGGGCACCCTGAAGCATTCAGTTCTGTGACTTGCCCAAAAGTTCTTATCCCCCCCAGTTGTGCTTGGTTGGTTTTCTTAGCAATTTAAATTCAAACATACATTGGTGGGAACATAGAGAGGAATTGATAAGGTAGGAGTTCTTTTGTGAATATAAGACTACTTCTTCCTGGAATGCATTTTTTTTTTCATGTCAGGAGTAACTTGAGAAATTGCAAGTCACTTCTGGTGTAAGAGAATTGGACAAGGATGTTGCCCAGGGGAACCTGTGACCTGTTGGTCTTCAGTATTGTTGGCACAAGGGTTTAACCCTTTGCGGCACCAGGGGCTCCTTGGGATGCATTCAGGTACCATTAAAGCTCCTGCTGAGATTATCTTAAACCAGAACTGTTGTTTTTGATGAGAAACTCCCTTCTTAGCCAGAGGGTGTTAATATATGGATGCATGTGTGGAAGTTTATGAGTGAAACTCATTGTGAAACACTTTTCAGCCAGGAATCTGGGATTGCACTAAGCTTTCTCAACCTGTCACCTCCAGATTTATTAAACTCCAAGACCCGTCTTCAAGTAGCATGGATGTGAAATTGTACTCTTAACATCTCTAGAAGGTGGTAGGTTGAAGAAAACCGCTTAACCCATAGAAATAGGTTAGATAAGGGATTATATGTGTTTTTTTTCCATGTCAGAAGTGACTTGAGAAACTGCAAGTCACTTCTGGTGTGAGAAAATTGGCTGTCTGCAAGAACATTGCCCAGGAGATGCCCAGATGTTTTTTGATGTTTTATCCTCCTCTGGGAGGCTTCTCTCATGTCCCTGCATGGGGAGCTGGAGATGACAGAGGGAGCTCATCCATCTTCTCCCCAGATTTTGAACCTATGACCTGTCAGTCTTCAGTGGTATAATGGTAATATCATATAATTATAATTATTATATCCGCTTTTCTTTTTTGGTTCTGCATATTATGGTAACCAGTGATTGTAGCTCAAAGCCTCCTTAGTTCCCCTTTGAATTCAGGTGATGTTGTTGGACTTTTAAACTCTGATGTGCCCTTTCTTTTATTAGAATGGATGTTAGCTGTCAAATGTGTGAGAGAGGAAATCTTTAACAAAAGAAACTGCTTTCCTAGCCCATACCATAATACATCCAGGGATTAAGCTATAGCTAGATCAAATGCAGACTTAACTGGGTTACAGAATGCTAGAAAAATCTTCAAGAGGTTATTCGGATAAGAGGCATGGCTGGACTTATGCTTATAAGATTGATATGCCCTATTGCGAGTCTTAACCTCACCTTGTCCTCTCCCTTGACTTAAAAAAATAATATTCAACAATGTCAATATTAATCATCTTCAGATAGAATGTTTTTACCTTGTGAGTAGAGTTTCCTCTTGCATATACAGGCAGTCTCCAAGTTATGAACAAAATAGGTTCTGTTCTTAAGTTGAATTTGTTTGTCAGTCGGAACGGGTACATTTTTTTTCCAAAGTCCCCCCCCCCATCATCCTCTCTCTCTCTCTCTCTCTTTCTCTACACACACACACACACACACACACACACACACACACACACACATATATATATATATATATATCTTTGGGTAGCAACTACTCCCGTGTTAATGGCAGCTTCACTGGCTGCTGATCCGCTTCCGGGCTAAATACAAAATGCTGGTTATTACTGCATCTCTGTATACAAACCAGCATAGGCACTGCAGTCTGCGGAGGAGGTCCTGCTCTTGGTCCCACCCCAAGTGCAGCTGGTTGTTGTTGTTGTTGTTGTTGTTATACTCCGAGCCCTAGGGGAGTGGCGGCATATAAGTTTGAATAATAAATAAAAAAAATAAAATAGCATAGGGAAGGGTTAACACCCCTGTGGTGTTTGTTTTGCCCTCTGTGCTCCTGTTCAGAAGATTTCACCTCACTTTCTGCCCCTATAACAATTGGAGTTTGAAAAAAATGGCTTGTGGAAACAAGACACCTTTTCCTCATGATAACTCTTTCAGGAGTGAATTTCCCTTCCAAGGGGTAGATTTCCCTCACTTCCTGTTGTCTCACCTTTGTTCTTAACTATGAGTTGTTTATGAGTCAGATGTTTGTAACTCAGTGACTGCTTGTAAACTGCATAGATATTACATGTTGTGATCTGTTTCAAATAGTGTTTCTTTTGTAGAAGCTATGTAAATAAAACAGGGATGGTAGCTCTCTGGATGTTATTGGGCTGCAATTCTCATAGGTCTCAGGAAATACAGCTAAGGTGGAATATCCTGAGTGTTGCAGTCCAATGTCTGTAAACCCAAATACTCCCTTTTCCTTTGATTCAAGTATAGTAAAATCCCCATGACTCCCATTATCTGTGCCTGGGGAAAACTGGTCCATTTAGGAATTTGCTAAATCCTCTAGACAATTCTAAGACATGCTTCTTCCAGAAATTACCAGAGTTGTGTTGGAGGACCTAATTAATTCCTGTTTCATAAAGATTGGAGGACCTAACAAATTCATATTGTATAAAAATTACAAAATAAGAATGTGTTCGGTCCTCCA